CCCTGTCGGACACCACTTGATGTGGTGAACTCAGGAGAAAGCTTCCCGTAGACCTTTACACGGCCGCGGGAGTTGGCGTACAGCGCCTTAATGAGGGTCAAGAATTTATGAGGGACACCTTTGCTCCACAGACACTGCCATAGTACTTGGCGGTCCACAGAGTCAAAGGCAGTTTTCAGATCGAGAAAAACGACCATTGTTGGTTGCTGGAAGCAGTGTCGCTGTTCCAGAATCTGTGGGAGGGCGAAGATATGATCGATGCAACCTCTTGCAGGACGGAACCCAGCTTGGTTTCCACGGATCTGCCTCTCCCTGTGTTCAGTCAACCTTCGAAGGATAAGGCCAGAGAGCACCTTCGATGCCACAGCAACTGAGGCACAACCACCAACCCACCGCTACGCACTACTACGCTTCACAATAACGCACTGATGATGTCACCTCGATTGGTGACGAAACGTTTGCAATCAAATTGACCAGCTCAGCGAACAAGCCAATGACCACAGGCAACTGAGCGGAACGAACGGCAAGCAATGTGGTCACACAATGGTCCGGAGATATCGATGGTCAGACATCGAGGGTCTTCAAACAGTTTCCGCACTGGTGTTTCTGCCAGCTCAGCGAACAAGCCAATGACCACAGGCAACTGAGCGTGGTGAACGGCAAGCAATGTGGTCACACAATGGTCCGGAGATATCGATGGTCAGACATCGAGGGTCTTCAAACAGTTTCCGCACTCGTCGGTGTTTCTGATCCACAGAGTATTGGTATTGTACACTGTTCCGCTGACAGCCAAGCTGACGTCATGTCGGTGCCGAAAATGTGGGGAGTTGGTGAACACTGTTCTGTGATGTGAGTTTTTCTTCCGGCAGTCCACCAAAACTCATGAATCTGTCTAGACCAACATCACCATCATCATCACCATCAGCCGTAAAATCACCGCATGCTTGTCGTACAATGGCTATAGCTGCCAGATCCTCGTCCGCCGATCATTTGGGGAGGGGTGAAGAGCTAGGCATTCGAGGCTGTAGCTGATATAATTGCGGCGTCAATACACAGTCAGTAAACCCTTCAATGAAGAGGCCGAGAAGCGAAGCTGTGCATTGAAGGTAACAACATTGATACATGCGCACCATTATGCGCGCGACGCGACTGGGTCATATCTGAAAATGTTTCTAACCAGTAATGTGCCCTTCGCTGCAAAGTCACTGCTCTCTCTCCCGCTGACTGTTTCTTCAGCGAAAAAGGAAGCGGTTTCAGCAAAAGAACTGGACAGAGTACGGACACTGAGAGCTGCAAAGTGGATCAGACCTGTTGGGTTTGGTAACGAGTTCTGTTTGCTTGACTGAACAATGGTTTATATTTTGGCTATCATTAGGAAGTGGCGAAGGACCGGTTGAAGGGCGGATAAAGGGTGCGGGCGGATGTTGCACTGGCGGATACAACGAGTGGTGAAGCAACTTTGCTGAAACAGCTTCCTAGGTATGGTCACGAGGTAGCAATGCAACTGCCGATTCACATTCTCGGATACAAGCAAAAATGAGGGCACAACACCAAAGTCTAGAAAGGCATTTTTACGCATTTCGCTCCAGCCCAAAACCCAAAAGAAGTCAAACAAATAGGTTCAGGTGAAGCCTCTGAAGCCGCATCCCCAGTACATATCCATTTTAATTAAGCTGCACTTATGATAAGAATGTAAGTTTATAAGCACTCGAATAACACCATCGGTAAAGAAATTCCCCTCGTTGCGATATTGCCTGCATTGACTGCCTTCAAAAAGAATATGACAGAATGAGTGAGACGGTGTACCCCATTAAAACTTGCGGAGACATTTAATTTGGTCTACTGGGCGGAGTTGTGAGTATAGTGACATTCCAGACAAAAAGGTTTCGAAAATGAAGATTGGTGCCAGGAACGCATAGCACCAGAGGAAGTCCTCAAGTATGCACTTCCATTCATGCACTAACATTCACACACAGAATCAAACTTCGCAAGGACAGCAACTTACCCATATCGCCAATAAGAAGCAGCTTCAACACCACATCTGTCTGTGGTGCGACTCCCCTCTCCATAAGCGATGTCAGCAGCGCACCAGACTCAAATCTGACGTACGATTGGTTGGCAAATTATCACGGAATCACGGATTCACGGATTGATACACAGGATCGAGGCTTTTGCCCAAGTTTCCCGGGTCGGTTTTGTTCTTGTCGGTCAGTGGATGTCGTTCACCTGAAAGGCACACGTGAAAAAAGGGTGTAGCACTGCTCTTTATGTTCTCAGCGCGGGGCAGTATGCTCGCCAGCGCGAGGATTCGCATAAATTAATGTCTAATAGTGCTTTAAATTGGGTTCGCGAAGGAGCGTGTACAACCGTCGGAGGAAGGTCATTCCACGCAGCTACTACCCGAACTGAAAAAAGTTTTGTCTAATGAATGTGTGTGGCCTGAGCTTGCAAATTTTCTTACTATGTCCCGCCGGGTGTTTGCTGGGTCAACGGTAAAAAACCGGTTTGCCAAGCTCTGTTCAAACAAGGCGTAAGTAAGAATTAGGTCCCCTTGGAGGCGACGGTACTCCAGGGGAAAGAGATCGAGCATCGAGAGGCGCGTTTCGTAGTCCACGGATTTGAGGCCGGCAACCATTCTCGTGGCGGCCCGCTGGACACGCTCAATGGGGGTGAAGTCTTTCGTGCGTCCTGAGTAGACAACTTGGTTGGCGTACTCCAGCAGCGGTCTGACGTAGGCCCCATATAGTATTTGGAAGTCCATGCGAGTAATACGGGAGAAGGTGCGTTGGATCATCCGTAAAATGGCGAATGCCTTTTGGGCCGATTTCTCATG